ACAGGTGTTGCAGTTGGTATTGATTCCGCTGGTCTGTCACACGTTTCGTCGACACCAAAGTTTCATCAACACTCGTTACGCGAATTGCAAGCTGTATGGACATTTCATCGCGCGTGTTACCTACCCAGTCCATCCATTCACGCCGCTTTGCGACGGCAGTCTGCAGCGGCTCATTACCAGAAAAGTGGTCTCACATCGATTTCAGTTCAGCTCGTCCACGGCAGTTGCCCGACCCCGAAGGAGAGGATTTATTCGGACAGAATGCTACTAAAGCAGTGCAGCTTCTTTAGTGATCAGGATAGACTATTTTCTGTTTGTTTTATTATATTGTCACGGATGCTTGCTCCAGTCCTACTTTCTATCAATATTTACTATTCAGGAAAGTTCTATAGGCCATGCTCAGCTGTCATTGTATGTTCTGGTGAAGGTGCGGGGGGGGGGGGGGGGCGCTTTATCCATAACCCTTCACTCTGTGTGTACCCTGGCGGCTCCTCAGCCGAGTTTCCCGATAACAAGACGTGGGTGGCACATTATTCCGAGTCTTCAACCCCCGGCGAGCCGTGAACCAAGTCCTATCCCGAGCCCGGCAGAAAAACCGCAAGACGAGCGAGTACCACAAGGACAAAACTCGGAAATACACCACGAAGAACTTAAAATCTAAGCCAGTCGCCGCTACCAGCAAAAACCACCGAAATTAGGTCTTTTGCCAGAGAAAAACCAAAGCTGACTAAGCCAACAATGACAAACCTGTAGCAGCAAACCACGTCCGGCACCGCCATCGTTTGCATGCCCGTCGCACCTCGCACTACGATGCCCTTTCACGCAAGGTGCATAAGACGTCGAGGGCTGGATTGAACAACATGACCGTGTCGCCCGCCACAGCGGGTAGAAGGACAACCAGCTCCTGCAGAACCTATACTTCTCGTGGAAGAAACTGCAAGGCACTGGTTTGAGAACCACGAATCTTCCTTAACGTCGTGGGAAGTTTGCAAGATCGAGCTGAAATGCATGTTCATCTGCGAACATTGACGAGAGAAATCCGAATTCCTGATTCTGTCGAGGACACGGCCCCAACGAAAGCGTCACCACCCTCGTGGAGGACGTTTTGCTTCTGATCGAGCACCCAGGCCAACCCTGATGCTACAAAAGACAAGAGGCTAAGAATCCCATGTTCCTCATGTGAAAGACAACACCTTCAGCAGCCTTGTCCGCAACCCCACGACAACAATCGAACGGTTCATATCAATGAAGCTTCCAACATTGAATGTACACTGCAAGCCCGAACATGTCACTATCAACAACTCCCCAGCGTTGCGACACTCGAGTCGTCCGGCCGCAACTTCGACGCCAGCCCCCCAGGCATCCGTGACATCATTCACAACAGTGTCCGGGAGGAGATAAGGAAGCTAGTTCCTGCCATCAATTTCCAGGCTTTTATTTTGATCGAGGAGATTGTTTCAGAAGATGTTAGACAGGCATTTCAACTGGAGACTTCTTCAAGCGAAGCGGCATCTGACGAAACGAGGGCGACTTATGCCACAAAGTCACAACGACCCCCACCGGCTACCTGTCAATATTCAATGCCAATTTAACGAGACACCCCAACGCCAAAGCATTCCCGACATCGGGAAGAATCAGTGTAGGTCCGCACTGAACAAAGTTCACCGAAGAAAACGGAGGTACTGCGAATGGCCGACCGAAAACCACTGCATGAGCCGACCATGTCTACTGGAGGTGCCCGTACCAATGAAATGGCCTGCAAGGGTTCGTGCCGAACGACCCTCGACCACGTCTCGACGAGCGTCCGGGGGAGATTGAGGATTATCTTCGGCGGTCTTTGTCCCTGGTGCCGACACCGCCCCGAAGCTCGTGATCTACTTCATCTGAACGGGAGGTAAGCACCACAAAGCAGGTGAGCGGCAATGCAAGGAGAGTTGATCTGGTGTCGGTTGTCGCCCAAGGACAATACCTTATAATTTGCTGACACTAATTATCTGTGTCTACGCCACGAAGCACACAATTTCCAACTTTGAGGGAGAATGCCGCTCAGTGACCTTAATAAATAGAATGGTTGGTTGCTCTCAAAGTGGACTGCAAGCATCACGAGACTTCACTTTGCCACACAAGACTTGCACCAGTTGCAGTGGTCGTGGGATGCAGAATAAATCTTCATTACGAAATGGAAGTGAAAGGGCTTGAATAGCAAACAAACATTGTTGCCAGCTATCAAGTCAACGGTACAGCAAAAGGCACAGCCACATGACCAATACATGCCCGAGCTTGCTGCATTGATGCAGAAAACTACCAGGAAAATTTTGCGGATTAGAAGCCAGTCCTGCAGCTTCAGTGCATCAGATGTCAGTGGACGCACATGACGTATGATAACAAGACGGCATCAGTCGGTCAAAGTTGCTACTCGACCAAATTGAACACCGACGTGCCAGGAGCGTCATCCCACAACAAGGTCCGCAGGTATTACGACTGAACGCATGACAGGAGACTGTCGCAGAAAGAACTCGTTCTGGAACCATTAACTAAGAATCAATAATAATGTAATCCAGTGGAAATAAACATATTTGATACACTAACCAGATAAACCTATTTCCACTTGCCTTTACGCCTTGAGCGTTTATACACCAAGAATTGTGCTCACCACATGCGCAGGTCCTTTTGAGGACACTTGCATCTCTGACCCTTCAATATGAATTAATGGGACATACCAGACTGGCAGACTTCTTGCATTGGGCTGCACTCATTCCACTTCTCCTGAAAACACTTCTGAGCATATACTTTAATCGTATGTGTTGATGCATTGTTATATAGCAGGACACTTCCTATACGTATGACACCATAGACCCTTTGCAGAACCCCATCAAGCAACACAACTATTACCATTTTTTTCGGCGTAAACCACACAAATGGGCCCCAGTTTACGTCGAATGCTAAGGCAGCATTCGAGTCCAATAGGCGTTGAGCCGAGTACACAGTGATGGCGGACATAACACTCTTGTCGAACAAATGACCAAAGTATGAAAGCCTGAGGAAATTAGACTAGTCGCTACTGTAATTCCTGTCATCACAATTTGGCAAACAGCAAAGGATACAGTCTCGGTGAGCCAATATGCACGCTGGAGAGAGGCACATGACAACATGTCATTCAGAGTGCTTGTCTGCACAGATTTGTCACACACCTTCGCTCTGTCTCTCTGATTGGTTCGAGGGGGCTGTGGCGGTTGCCCTTTTCCAGGTTAGAATGATACGAAGTATAGGCAACCCACACTTTTCAAAAAAGGCTATTGAGGAGACCGAAAGGAACGGTCAACATTTTTCAACAAGACTGCTCTTCAGGCAAGGGATGAACACAAATATGAATAATCTTATCCGGGTAATTAGAACAAGTAAATAATTGACCGACTAATACAATTCACTCTTGATGAAAAAAAGTATTGCTGCAATAAATCCTACGAAAGAGAAAAAGGTGTAGTTCATCTATGCATACACCAAAACAGTTGTTCTTACTGCAAGTCGAATAGCATTGAAGCAGGTGCCTACAACGATTTATTCATCTCCACACTCAATAAAACGTCATCCTCGTAGCTGGAAATAAGTGTGCACTTCGCACTCACCAAAAAGGGAAGAAAAGCTATCGAATGTAGAATCGTCGATTAGCACAAAGGATTAAAGATCGCGGGAGCTCCCTCGCTAGAAGTTGCTATGGTTATTCGGTGACGCAGGCCTGAAACAACTTCTCCTAGGCCCTAACGCGACGTATACCTTTCGCGTCGATTCTCAGACATTCCAACGTTCAAACAAAGCTAAGAGAATGGGAGAATTTTATGCTAAAACCGCTCAAAGTTCTATCAATCCTTGAACAGATCCAGAATCCGAGCACCGGTACGGCGATACGGCTGTTGCTGTCTCACAGTTGTTAATATCAAAATAATCCAGAGCGATCTTGCGCAAAAAGGGTATAAGGTCTCATTCCTTCATACTTTCACATTATACCTGCGTCAGCGAGCACGAAAAAGCCCGAAATGGTCGGAAAGCCGCTGCACATCACGGCTGCCGCGCACCGAACAAACTCGCATCCACCACCTCTGGGCGCTGCCGTCTTACCTGCGACGTCACCGCTCTTCTGAGGTCACGTGACGAGTGGTCACATTTGCGTAAAACATGGCGGCAACCGGGGGGGTGCCACTTCCGAACTTCCGGTTTGTCACTCTAAGCCCCTCTACCTCGTTGTGCAGGCCATATTTCTACGATGGCTAGAGATGATATAACTCTGCCAAAAAGATGACCCACCACGGCCGCATTCCCGTCCATAGGCGGAGCTGGTCAAACGCGATCCAGCAAATAGACATAGAGATCAGTGGGTGCAACCCACCCGTGCAATACAACTTTGGCGAAGCATCTACATCGCTACCGCTAGGAGCCAAAGTATACGGCCCGTTTTCAATCGAGCCTCGGCATTTCAGACTTCCTACATTCATTCTACTCCGTTTCACATCAAGTCTGACCACAGCCGACACTACGATTCGACCGAGCCAGTCAAGCGGCTCCCAAAGTGCATCGTCATGGCGTTCGTCATCTTTGTGCGTTGGCATTGCCGGCTAAACTAACTACGTTCGGACAAAAGGACACGAGCGTGCAGCATTCGCTGTACGTGAGTGGTTTAGCCGGCGACATCGAACGCACAGAAAAAACGAGCGACGTGACGACGCACTTTTGAAACTGCCTGATTGGATCTATCGGATCGTAGCATCGGCTGCGGTCGTATTTAAGGCGCCTTCACAATTGCGAATCGCAACCGTCGCGCGGCAGTCTCTGCCGCAAATGCGACCGCCGTTTCGGGGGAGTTGCTATAACGGCGGTTTATGTTTCCCAAATATTCATATCAATTAAGTTTCACGCTGATGTTTTCATTCTATGAGAAATAGAGTTATAAACAAAATCCAGATAATTTCTATAAACTAAAAATATTACTTTTTTTCCCTAACCAGTTAAGTGCCATGGCGAAAAACTGGGCCGAACACATTGCCTCTACCCACGCCATTCGACACCGGCCGCCATCGAGGGAAATGAGCTTTGGTGAAAACCTTTACTCGCACACCCACGCCCCTGCTGATGTCAAAATAAACCGTACGTACAAAAGTGCGTTGTTGGTTTCCGACACTGAACTGTTTATACTCATTTACACTAAGCTGCCATCAAATTATAATCACTAAACGTTTAAATGGCATCAGGCGTAGCAAGTCCACTTATTATTGCTCCAGCAAATGAGACTCCTACCTTAGTCGATAAGAACGTCAAAAAAACGATCACAGAACAAGAAGTGCAAGCCACGCATGCATGTCTTAGCATGTTGGTAAAGGAGGTTAAAACGATCGTGATGCGAACATTGGTAAAACACATGTACACTACGATTGGTTTGTGAAAATTGGAAAGCGAGGCACTAACAAATACTCTTTTGGGTGTCTTAGATAAGTTCAAATAGCTGCGCAGGCATTTCGTGTACACTTGTTCAGTGATAAACCTCATTTGACTGACTTACGTAAATTCAGGCGTAAGAAATTACTATACATTACCGGGTTTTCTAATTTTTGTGGAAAGTGGGAGCATTTCGTAGAAACCGCGGTAGCCACCGAATGGTGCTCGCAGCAATTAATATAAAGATGACGGTACACATCTGGACATTCGCAGCGAATAGCTTTTTTTTTTCATTCGCAAATACTGAAATAAGCACAAACTAGATTCCTGTTACATAAATGCCGTTCCGCGTCAGACATTTCACGAATGAATCATTAGGTGAAATAGACCGCAGCATTTTTAAGTGTACGCCAAGGCGCTGCTTATACACCATGCAGGTTGTCTCCAACGCAAGGGATGGGCACTTCCCGAGCGCATAAAAAGGATCGCATCACTCTAGTTTCTTCATTCGCATAAAAACAACATGGCGGACGCCACTCGTTTGAGAAAAAAATAGGTGTGCATCCGTCTCTTCGCACTAGCTGCTATTCTGTGTGCAGCCCTACCTAGACTAATGAAAGCTTGTTTACGACTTTCTCTGTGAAGTTACTGTGTTGTATGTATGCTTAGACAGCTGGAAGTTAGTCTGCCTCATCGGGGGACTTGTATCAGCTGTAGATGAGGAATGTGTCCAGTGCAGTACAGCCGCCAGCCTATACATCATCCAAAAGACGGTCTGCAAAGAGGTTCGAACGCAAATCGCCAGTGAGATCCGTGCTTCGAATGGCGCATGACAGTAAATTCATAGAGAAACTTGGCAAGTGGCATTCGAACCACGGATACTACGGTGTCTCGTGTTTGCAGGCTGTTTTTTTTCTTCTATAATGTATGAGAAGTATAGCCGTGTTAACGTGCTTCCCGGAGCAATGATACTTGACCGCACGCCGGTACGATGCACATCGGGATCGAAACGGGCAGGGGTGGAGATTGAACCAAGGTTCTTTTGAATCTGCAGCACGAGCTTTCGCTCCAGGTGGTCCGAGTTGAGGTGCCTCCCGACACACGCTCACCGATTCCCCCTACCTTTTATTTTATCGTGATTCGTTATCACACTTCGGTGGCACCGACCTAACTATTGAGAGCTGTGCGTTCACCCAATCATTCATTCAACATCGGTCTTTGGCGAACTCGGACGCTGGCGCAGAACTCCTGTAGAATTTGTGCCCTCGCGTTTGTGCAGTGTTCATTCTCTAACCTCTTTCTGTGAGGAGTTGTTAGCAGGACTCAGTAAAACATATAATTTCAGGCGAACTGCATAAGCCGTAATATTTGCAGGAAGAACTAGGTACGGAAATAATACGATATTATTTAATACTGTTCTGAGACCCAGGATCACCTTGTTTTTACTTTTAGTCCGGATATATCTCTTTCGCAACCTGGTTCAACGAACCATTAGAAGACAATAGTATATTTCTGCCCACCATATCTAAGAAACGTAACACCACTGCCTGATATTGCGATCGGGTGAGGCTCATAGTTCCAGCAAGAATTTAGATTTATCTATTTTGAATGTACTTATAGCTCGGCAATAATTTGTATTTGCAAGTGTTAAGGACCGTAAAGTTACCATTACTGTGCGCGAACACCGACACACAGAGGCAAAACAAGCTTCATAAACGCTCGTGATCATTTACCGAATTTTTCGGCGAAGAATTTCAAACATCCGTAATTTCTAGTAGCATGAGAACAAAATTTTCTCTATGTTTGGTCATGCTTCCAAGCGCATATAAATGCGGTAGCTTTATATGGCCATCGTTGACACACAAAAAATTGTTTTTAAACGAAATAAAAATATACTGAAATACATTTAGTATTTTAGAAGTATTTCAACGTTATGGATATTACTGTGACATTTACACGATTTCACCGTGCGCAAAAACATTGTGGTGATCGTTGGTGGCACAGCAGTAGCTGTCGTATTGTTCCTGTTCTTGTTCTTGAAGGTGTTGCCACTGTCTTCTGCTTTGTACGCTATACAGAGGCAGCGGTTTGTACACCTAGAAGTAGGCTAAAAAGACCATGCAGCGTACTCCTCGAACGCCTCGCGCAAAGGCAAAGTGGATGGTTATAGTTTCCGCCCCCGGTCGTCAAGTTCCTAATCTTGAAGCGGGCGCCAGCCCTCACAATGCCACCACCATAACGTTGGTGGCATTGTAAGGGATAGTCTAAATGGCGCGCACGAAAAGAGAAGTTGGGTTTTGTCTGTAATCTGATTAAGTTACACCATTGGCTCACAGTTACTCTGTCCGCGCTTCTCTTCAGGGCCACCCGGATACAAAGCCTTTGAGCTGAATGATCTAGGCCACTAAGAAAGGGAAAACGCGCTTTCCTGCCCTTTCCACTCCCCGCTTAGCGCGCTCTTTCCAGAACACCTGTTTCCGCTCCACTTTGTCTGGCCACTTCGCTCTGCGCACTTTCTCACACCACCTGCTTCTGTTTCTCCCGCTTCTGCGACTAGACTTCAGACCCGTCAGTCTCCTTTGTGGAGACTATAAGATGCTTGCCGATATTCTGGCAAAAAGGCTGGACCTCGGACTTGGGTGCGTGGTAGACGACCATAGAGCAATCTTTCTAAGGAAGTCATTTTTAGGACGACTACGATCACGGGCAAAGTGATGGGGTGCGCTAAAGTTGCCACTGTTGCAAAATCCGCAAGGCAAGTGATGTGAAAGTGCGGAAAATAATATTACCCGCGTCCTCGCACCGCGAGCCTTGCGCTTGCTGCACGAGGGGCAAATTTAGCGCGTCCCCGCACTCCCCACGTGCTTCAGGTAGTCCTTAAATTGACTTATTCTTGAATCCTATATCGATGTGCACAAACTAAAAAGGTACTTAGTGAATTTTAAATAATTATCTTTATACCCAGTGTTATATCGACGCCCAGGCTGGTCTCTCTGGCAGCATGGCCATCTCGCTGGCGTCTAACCTTTCTCGCGAACAACGTCCTAGCCAGACAGTCGGGGAAACAGATCGGGAAAACTTAACAGGAAAGAAAACTAGTTTATTTACATGGGTATATCATGTAGCATATATGCAAAAGGAGCGCGCTGAACGGGCAGCCGGACAGGTCCTTATAAAATAAAATCGGGGTTCTGGAGCTGCCGTGCCATTGGTTGGCTAGTGCCGCATTTCAAAGTTGGCCTCAACGTCAGCCTCCTCCTCTCGGCCCCGATGCTCGGTCTTTGTTCTTCTCCGAATTGAGGGCGACTAGTAGGGTCTTGCATGCGGTAGACGCAGACACAACATACTGCCAATCTGTTCAGGGTCGGATTCTGTCTGGCGTTGTCGTCGAACGCAGACGCCTCCCTGGAATGCAGCCGCCGTAGAGAGAACACACCGACGGCAACGTTGGTTCTGATGCCCTTGAGCCGAGGCCTGAGAGAAACGCTTCTCCGGTTTCGGTCGAACGTGCCAAAAGGGTTCGGGTCGCACGCCAACCGTCTCGACGTTCGCTTGGTTGTCGTCCGCACCGGAGTGCAAGGTCGATCCTCACAAACACAGGAAGATGGAGACGGCTCATAACAACAGTGTTTTCTTGTTTTTGCTTTTTTTCTGTGCAATCCTTGGCGTCGTCCGTGGCTCGAAATTTGATTTCGAAAAGTCTCCTTTTTTTTCAATCACCATATTTTAAGCATTTTTGAACCTCTTCCATGAAGCACCCGGTATGATTGATGGTATAAGAGCTCGTAATACCAGTAATGTTATAGCACAAGATGGCGTCAGATATAGTTCCAAAAAGAATTTTAAAAGGAATGTTTCAAAACCTTTGGAATGATATGATAAAAAATCCGAGTGCACAAGCTTGATGCTTGTGGTATTGCCTCGCTCTCGTCGCGAAAGTATATCTAAAATAGACCTTTCGAAAACCAAATCAAACAACACTGGTGGTCGCCAGTGCTATGATCACGAAGCGCGTGACTGTTCCTGAGTCCTCGCCGAATGCTGGCGGAATCCTTAGAGTGTGTTCCCAAACAATTGCACACTCGGATAATTGACACTGCAGCTACATGGTGACGGGCACTTTTGAAATAGGTCAGTTAGATCTGTTGGTTTTAATAACGTTCATAAGACAGAACGCATTCTAGAAGTCAACAGACATACCAGACCGCTGCGACGTACTTCCGACAAAATCGTAAAACCAAAGTGTCCGCTTAACAGTCCGAGATGCTAGACTCTTCTGGTTCATCTGGCGGTTCGAAGAATCTGTGAGAAAGTGTGAGAGCGACACAGTTACTGAATACGCATGCATCTACAAGACTAAAAGAAAGCTTGAGCCCTTTTTATAATTTTATTTATTTTTAATTGGAGATTTAATTATGTAGAATACATCTTCAATTGTGCAGACACCAAAGATTTATTTAAGTTGTGTCGACTTTTGTTTTCCAGCGAAGAAAGTAGTCACAATGTGGTACGATGAAATCAAGCATTACAGCTACGCCCACCCCTACTATCAGTCCGATACCTCTCATTTCACGCAAGTTGTTTGGAAGGATACTCAATACGTAGGTTGCGGATGGGCTCACAATCCCGAGTGGGAATTATTGGTCGTCGTTTGTAACTACTGGAAGCAAGGAAATATACCATCAGAGTTTGGGAAAAATGTTCTTCCGAAAAAATAGTATCTACAAAGGTTAATAAACCATTCAAAATATGCGATCCTCAAGACACTAAACTTTCATGGGGTGTAATAAAGACCTCAATCCACGCTTTCACTGTGTATTTCTTTATTTTCACTGAACCTATTCTGTCCGTAAGAACTGCCTAATATGCTATAATTTTCATCAATTTCTTTAGGTAAGTCAAATACACATCGTGCACAACGCACAGCATACGCATACCGATGGCACAATGCGCTGTACTTTAATAAGCATAGTCATATGTTGTCAATAATAATTGCATGAGTGATCTTTTCATTCCTGTCATAAAAAATACTAGATAAAACAAGCAACGCGAAAGTATCTCTGCAAATCGAATACCCATGTGATATTAATGTCAATGCGAAAGTAAGATCCATTATTATAGATTCAAAACAGGTAAATAAATATGTTGCGAAATTGCTTGAAACAAAAAAGTGTTGGATGCAAAATGTTCAGCAAATAGTAAACATATATTCCACCTCCGCGAGACAGAAAGCTATTTTACGCGGTGGAGGGAACGCGTGGGTTGAGGCACAGCGAATCCCTTACTCGAGGCGTGAATGTTCCGTGCTACCTTGTAAAGGATAGCGTAGTTTTCACAGCGCTGTCAAAGGTGCACTTGTGCGAGTTCCAGTAAATAGGACACAAAACAAATCCATGTGTCCTCGCAGCATTATGTGCGGAGCTGCACAACTGATGAAACTAAGTTAGCCTTGACAAGGTAGCACAAAAATTAGACGCCGAATATCCCAGGTAGCACAAAAAAAAAAAAAAAAAAACAACCTAACTTGTCACAATCATGCCAATTATAGGGGTCCAACTTGGGCCTAGTATGGTTTTGCTGCAAGGCGTAAGTTATTGTCAGAGGATATTTCTTTGATGTTTCTATGACTTTTCTCAGGCTCGCTTCATAATTGTGAAGGTGCCAAACTTAAGCCAAAGATTTGACTTATGAAACGAAGAACCAGCAGTGAGGGCTACACTGTAAAAAAAAACCGTAAGTTAACGGCCTTTTTCAAAACTGGAAAGCGCCGTGAGAGGCGCGCACGGACAAAACGCCGTAGAGGCGACATGACGGCTCGGGTCCGTAAATGTACGGCTTCACATATTTCTTAGTTCAGGTCTGTGTTCCCTTTTCTTTGAAGTAAAAACACATAACACACGCCACGTTTGCTCTAGAGATAGTTTTCTTGTTGGCAGATGTCTCATGTTACGTGCCATTCGTGCCAATGCTAAAATCTCTTTCGAACGGCGGAGGGAGACCCACCCAAAGGCCGGCGCACTCAGCTCGCGGACGACGACAACCGAGCAAGGAGCGCCGTCCATCACGTGATGTTTACTTCCCGGTCTGTATGCTCGCTCGCGCGTGAACCACCACGGGCGGGAAGGGCGGCAACACTCTTCGTCGTCGCCGCGATCATCTTTCACCATTCAACCGGACTAAGAAGGTAAGCCAGCTCATTTTCGCATGCGCCTTGCGAGATAACCGAAGTGCAGAAGGAATCAAAGACGCGTTACTTAACGCAATGGCGCGGGCTGAGTCAGAAAACGCGCCATATTTTTTGCTTTAGCTTCCGGACTTAGCTGCGCGAGGGAAACCTATCCACGCATCAGAATCGACTTGATGGACGTGTGCAGGCGCAGGGCTCATCGCCATGAGTGTTTGGTTTGCTCTGGGCTGAGTGGGCTCTCCCGAACTCCTTCTGTTCGTGCCTTTTTTGCTTTCGGGCGCCGTCACCCTTTCGCTTTCGGGCGCGGTAAGAACCGGAGAAATCAGATTTTAACATGAAAGATTGAAGCGCGCTCATTGAATAATCATAATGAGCGCTGTCGCGTACTGAATTTAAGAGCATGTCGTTTTTTCTCTAGTTTATACACTGATGTTTAGGACAATTGCTGGATCGCGTACCCCCGCTTGATCGCTGCAGCCCGAGTGCGGCCACCGGACGGCAATCTTGCATGTTGAGAAAGCGCGCTTTTGGAGCGTTGCGGAGGCTGGTGGCAGCGTGCTGAATACACGGTTTCTACTCGTTCGTCGTCATTCACCGAAGAAGTTCTTTAAAACTATGTAAGACGTGCGACTTGCGGATGAAAACACGTGACAATGTTTACGGAAGCGCAGTGCAGCAGAAAAAAGGCACAACTCGTCGAAAGCAAGTTTCGCCGGTCTCGCGGCATGTTCAAAGCTTCCTTGGCACCCCGAAGCGCTGCGTCTCTATGCCTTCGCACGCTTGGATGCCGGTCAAGAATCGACACCGTGTGAATGTGTTTTGCGAGTGCAATGTGCCTGTAGCCGTATGTGCCTCTGGAGCGGCGGTTTACTTTACTCTGACGACTGTATTTGTAACTAAGTGGCGACAGAAGAAGGGGGAAAGTACTTCTTTTTTTTTTGCTAGACGGCTCAGAGAATACCGCGCACAACAGCTCCTCATCAGTGATCAGCGGTGTCTCATTATCAACCTACTTAATTTCACATGACGTTTGAGCACGGCTCGCCTAATTGTGATTGGTGAACAGACTGCACACGACCATATGGACCGCGCTTCAAAGATCTCCATTCTCGCCGTCTTGTACTTTTGCCTTCGAAAACCCTCTTTGCTCTACAGCGTTGCTCTATTTGTGCTGCTATGTGATCTATTAGAGTAGATTTGGAACACAGCCATGGTTAATAGTGCATAAAAGCAACTGTACAGATTGCTTTCCCCCCTTTATTGATAGCAACTCGCCTGAACATCTGGATGCTCCAGAACTCTTTAGCCGATATAAGATGCAAAGACATCTGTGCACGACACACCTTCAAAACATTTTCGCGGCACCAATTCTTGATCGGTATCCTAGCGTGCGAAGACACAGAGACTCAGCGCTTCGGCATGCCAAGGAAGCTTTGATCATGGCGCAAGACCGTCGAAACATGCTTTCGACGAGTTGTGCCTTTCTCTTGCGGCACTGCGCTTCCGTAAAAATTCACACATGTTACTCGCTTATATTTGCCTACGTAAAAGCGACTATTAAAATATATGCTCAAGCAAAAAGTGGCCACTTTCCGAGAAGTGTGTCCAACCCTTAGTTTCCCTTTTGTAGTAGCTTCTCCTTGGCTGGAACGATTATTGATACCTTGCGTGGGGGGAAGAGCGGTGTCAATCATTGTTTTGGTGGCACCGATTACTTGAGAAACACTCGTATGAATGAATCTTGCTCCCATTATTTTCATTTTAGGGAAAAAAGCTTGTTCTGACGTGTGGTTTATTCGCTATGTTTAAATAGTTTTGTTGCTTTGCAGTTGTCGAAGGTGGGACTGATTTAGTTATTGCATCAAGCTTTAAAGGCAATGAGGTCATTGCCAAAGTTCTGTGTTTTTGCTTTCTATCCCCATTTCCAACAGCATTCTTTTTGCTGTGAATAATTGTGTGTCATAATTGCAGTTATGATAGTTTTTATGACACTGTGAGGAACTGCGGGAATTCCTATAGTTCTTGCATCGCTTTTTACAATGTGATAAACCGTAATTTCTGCTCCAAAACCTCAAATGTGGGGGACACGCTACCACAGCCGTGATGAAGCGCTCACGCATCTTTTTGCTGCAGATTATACTTCTGAGCATCGCCAGCAGTGACGGGGCCCATATGCTGGACGAACTACAGGACGTCACGAAATTGATTGTTCTCGAGCCAACCACGGGAAAACAGTGGTTCCTGGGACCCATCTTGGTGGATTTCAAGTTGGGAGCATTAAGAGCCTGCCAGCACTGGTCTTCAGCTACGATGCCTCTACAGAAGCCGCTATCCAACGCCAGTCGTTCGAGGCACGCTACCACAGCCATGAAGGAACGCTCGGACATCTTTTTGCTGCAGGTTCGTGATTTGAATACTTCAACTTGCCGTCGTTCAAGCAACTATTGTCTGCTAGTGGTATCCTGCCCCGGTGCTTGGTTGTGCTGTTTTCGTTGCGTGTGGTCTTGGTTTCGGGACGTCATGTCCTTAAGTTTGCAGTGTGAAATAAATTAAATGAAATATGTGCTACAAAAGCCATGTTTTTGCTGCAGAAGCAGTTCTTTTGTAAGATTCACCACTGATGATTCTATTTTGTCTGTTAATGCATGGAAACATTAGCCACTTGTGCTTTCTTGCCTTTGAGACATGCTCAGATAATTATATGGTTTGAAGTTGAACTGGGGGGGGGGGGGGGTGCGGGGGCTTCATTGTTTACTTTTAGAATGTAACACGCATCTCCAATGTTCAACTCAACGAGCTTCCCGCAGCGTCCATCTGCATCACACTAGGCAAGCCTTTGTGCATCTTTTGGCATGCAGGATACAACACTACTTTATTTCAATTGTAGGCTACTGCATTACCGTAAAATACCAGGCAAGCGCCCACTCATAATTTAGAGATAATCGCGAAAAAAATGGGGGAATGGGCGCTTGCCTGGTCATCAAATTTACATATAAATGTACTGTGCATATTTTTTCAGATCTTAGAAATTTGGATATCGGCACTTCATGTGGAATGGGCGGATGCATGGTATTCTACGGTAGCTAAGAGTTGTACTTGGAGTGTCGTTCGGTACAAGGAAAATAGTTTTTCTTCATATGTTCACAAATCTAGCGTGCGAAGGCACAGAGACTCAGCGCTTCGGCATGCCAAGGAAGCTTTGATCATGCCGCAAGACCGTCGAAACTTGCTTTCGACGAGTTGTGCTTTTTTCTCTCGGCACTGCGCTTCCGTAAAAACTCACACATGTTCTCATTAGCAAGTATCCGGCTTACGCAGGGTTTTAAAAAAACGTTTCTGGCGAATGACGACGAACAAGTAGAAAACGTGTCTTCAGCACGCTGCGGCCAGCCTCGGCAACGCTCCAAAAACACAATTTTTCGACGTGCAACATTGCCGTCTGGTGGCCGCACTCGCTGAGTGGGAATGCGCGATTTAACAATTGTCATAGAGATCAGTGAGTTTATGTGTAAAAAAAGTTCTTGTCTATGG